ATATTGTATTATACTAGTAGTAGTAAATCATTCTAGTAGCTTGTATCTCATTATCAAGGTCACTGACTCAGAGTAAAACTACGTAGTAGAGAAGAGGGTTTGATATATTTGGAAGGTATAATGAAATGCTTATCCTCTTCACACATTATGTTTGAAGTAAACCAACCGGTACAACTAGTAAATAAACAAAATATACAAAGCTTAATGAATCGTATCCAAACACAAACACTGTGTAATAACATACCAGATCACCTGTACCACACCAAAGACAATAGACAGTACAAATTACAGCTAAACAAAGTCTTAGTGCTACATAAACAACCACCAATGATTTAGGCCTACAGTATAGTATAAAACTGTTTAAAATTCTGTAGGTTTTAATCAAGTTGAACAATATGTCCTAATCATTTATTTGTTATTTCCTTTTGTATTTAAACATTTTTTTTTCAAATACCGGTAAGTTCTTTTTGTTTACTACAGTAGAATAGAATATTTTTTCCTTATCTTCATTATCAATACAAGTGACTTGCTGTATTAAATTATTTGGTTTGATTGAAGACATAACTGTAAAAGCTAACTGTATTTATCACAAAAATTCAGATAAAAACAGAATCTAAGAAAAATATTCAGTTTTAAAACCTGAATTGAATACCGTAAAACCTTGAATTGAAGCCCTTCTTTTCGAAGCTACTTTTGCAAAGTAAAGAGGAGGGCTTCTTTTCAAAATGAATGCTGTAAATTTTGATAATTAGTACCATAAAACAATAAATAGGGCCACTGTAACATCAATCTTTATTATGGAGTGTATTAACTGGCATTAAATCACCTAAACTACTGCATTAAAACCAAGCATGTTTTATTTATTTTGTTTCTTTTAAATTTATGTACAGTGTATGTACTGTACTATCTTAAAAAGAAGCCTATGCTGTTTTGAAAAGAAGCCCATGGGTTTCTTTTTGAGATGGACTTACTTTCGAGGCTAATTTTGCAAACTAAAGAGAAGGATTCAATGCGAGGTTACTGTACATTACAAAAAAATTTTGGTTCTTAGTGTTTTTTAAATGGAAAGTAAATGTGGTATACATTCATCTACAGTAAACAGGAATTCCTACAATACTTCAGAAATATCATAAATCATTTGTTTTTGTTTTCAACAATAAACCTTGAGGTTAAAGTTGACATTTTGTATGCCTTAATACAACCAATCCTTTATGAAATCCGAACTTTATGTACTTATTTATGTTTAATAGTATATACATATTTATACTGTAAACTAAATATATTTTAAAACAATAGGTTGTGTAACTTTCATCATGCTAATAACTGAAGTGTAAATCACATTTCGAAAATCATTATTAGTATTACTATAAACAATGACATTATTTCTTCATGAAATCTAAACTTTATGTACAGTAGTTACTCAAGTTCAATAGCATAAACACAGTTATATACCGTAAATATTTTGAAACAATAGATTGTGTAACTTTCATAATTCTATTTAACTGAAGTGTAAATCACCATGTTATGAAATCTCAGCTATCATTATTTACCATACAATGCCATTTTCATAATTTAATTTTGTCATTTATTATGTTTTCCATATTTGGAGATATTCTAAAATGAATTGAAATTAATGTTATTTTTACTCTCAGTTCTACCAAGCTTAGTGTACAGTATCATAGTATTAAATTTGTACCTTTTTTTAATATACCTTTTTCAAAAACTCAACCATACAAGGAATGAGTAAAACTGGTAGAGATAGTATTGGAGATGATTGTCATCTAAATAAATTTATAATAAAATTACAGAGACCTCAGGTCTACTACAAAAAATACTCTTTTCAATATGATTGTACAGTAAATTCCATGCCCTTTTTAACAGCATATGACGTAATAAAAAAAATACATATTGTGAAGATCATAGAATATTTATTTATTTTATTTTTGTGTTATATTATTCTGCAAAGGAACATTGACAATAATAAGCTGATAGGCCTACAGTACCAAACCAAATATCAATTTTCCCTAATGAACATGTCCAAATTATATCAACCATTCCTGGCAGTATCATGTACGTATGTGGACACAAATAATTGTATACTTCTTTCACTGCAACCTTGTGTGGTTGTAACAAGACAGTGGGTGTTAATGACCTAACCTTGGTCAAACCCTTTGAAGTTCTATGGATTGATTTCAGTTATCTGATAATCGCCAGACCTAATCCTGCATGAGTGCATACAGTATCATCATACTGTAGGATACAGAAAGATTCAGATACTACTGTACAGTATAACAGTTTAGATAGCATCATCTACAGTATCTTATCTAATGGTCATGGATGTAAACTTACAGGGCAGTTTGAAGTGCAAGCTATCTCCTTGTGTCATCTAAAAATGGCATAAAAGTAACAGTTCTGGGGTATGCAAACATCGAATCGACTTAGTGTTTTGAAAACTTATTTTTTCCGATGGGAACACAGACAAAATAATGATTCTTTATACGGCCCCATTTCTGCATCCAAAAAAAAAGATTTTAAAATGAAAATATATTTTTTTTGCACATAAAAAGAGGCACATAAGCAGCTAACAAAAAATGAGACAGTCCCTCTCATTCAAAAGAAGGATTCAACAGTTGGAGAAAGGAAAGGAGTGTGTTTAAATTGTAAAAGAATTGCTCCGGGCATTATGCTTAATCACAATGCACCGAGAACGAGACAACTGAAGTGATAAAAATAGTATTTCCCATACTATTTAAGAGGAAGGTAAACCAAACATCTACTATACAGTTATAATGCAGATATATTGTAAAGCATACTACGACATGCTCTGTACAAATGACTATAAGTCGGGTACTGACTGCGTCGCACTAATGTCATACGACCGTCGTCCGACGAATCCGACTCTGTTCCCACTGTAGGTGGCAGTCTGAACAGATCATCGTGGCGTTCTTTATGAATCTCGTCAGCTGACGCCCATCGAGCACAGCGTGTGCCCGACTGTACTAACTGGTAACTGCATGTTCCTGGCAGCCAACTAAACCTATAGATTTAAAATGCTAATTTACAGTAAGAAGAAAACTGATGAAAAATGTTTTGCCATGTTTGCAGGATAATGACAAGGTGGACGACAGCACACACTAACAAACTTTAATTAAAACACAATCTTCTTCGTTCACTGAACTCTGGTTAATGCATGATGTTCAAAATGAACATCTGTGCTTTAATTTGGAAAAACTTAATCTGTAAATTGCTTTCAAACTTGTATGTACTATTGAAGACTGTAATGTGTTAAATTTAATTAAAAGTTAGCCAACTCTATGTACATTACGTATACTAACAAATACCAAAAAAATGAAAATCAGTTTTAAAATAAAACATTAATTTAAATCATAGGCTTAGCCAGCGAGCCGTCCGGCCGTCTTTTGGACGGCCAACAATTATTTAGGACAGCCACTTTTACCGTGACAGCTTGGACAGATTGGCCTAATCAGCTTGGCCTAGCCTAAACTGGTCTACCTTTAGCAAATTCTTTATATTCTTTAAATCTATCATATTTACATTTGATAAAAACAACCTTTATTGATTGAATGTACGTTTTTAACTATTGCCTACCAGCGAAAAGTTCACTTACAACATGCGTCATGTTAAAAACATTTATACCCCGCTGGAAAATGGACAGTTCTGAGTCGCAGGATTCTTAACAATTGCTACACTACCTGTACTTTACTAGGTTTATGCATTACATAAAACAACAGTTTTTGGAAATGAAGATTATCAAACATCAAAACTCAACAAGACAAAATTAAGAATAAGAATTAAAATCGTTTCATAAACCCTCAGAATTTCAGAATCGGTAATTGGGCATTGCTGAGAAATTCACACTCAATGTGTTTTGAACTGCTTGTGTTGTGTGTGCAATGTGTGCTTTGAGACCTAAGGAATGAAAGTTGTAGATTTGCGTCCACCGCCTGCATGCCTAAAAAGCTACAGCATGAACATTTTCATTATTTTGAAAAAAAAATCATTATTCTGGAAAAAAAATACTTCATTTTTTAAAACTTTCTAAATCGTACACAAACAGAAAAACGATCTTTAGGCCCTATTCCATCACATCTTATCACTCGTCGCGAAGACTGCAAAGGCAGGGATCGCACCATGATCGCCGATCCCTGCTGAGGTAATTTCCGGGTCAAATTAAACTGGTTAACAAACCTTGAGCGGTGGTGCTCTTGACTATAAGATATAGCGTCGTCTAGCGGATAAAGGAAAATTGCTCTACGATTTTGTGCCACAAAATTGCAAACTGCTCTATCTTCTATATATATTTATTATCATCTTTGTTTCTCAACACTTTTTGATCTCTATTTATAATAAAAGAGTAGAATAGTTTACAATGTTCAAAATAACTTTTATAACATTACATTGAATGATCCACATAAATAAATGACCTCTCTAGGCCAAGTACTAGTAGTGTACATGACTGATTATAGGCCTACCTAGGCTCTTATATATTGTGTTTCTTGGGAATAATGTAAAATTGCTGATGCCATGGCTTGTGTACAGCATATAAAAATAATTAATGAAAAAAAAAAAAGCCTCTCATGTTTTTAATATTTTTCGGACACAAATCTACAACATTTATTCCCATCCACGGCCTAGGCCTAGGGAGGCCTATGCCCTAACTTTGTTTTAAAATATATTTCATTCAAAAAAATTGCCTTGCCTTGCTTGCTTCTCATTCTTACTGGACTTTCCCTAATTAATTAAGCTCCTTGCATCAGATAATTTTTGGATATTCTTGTGATCAGAGATGTTTCACCTTAAATTCAAGTGTCCGGTTCATGATTTGACCAACTTCACTAGGGAAACACACCCGTAGGCTTAGCTTAGAATTTTGGCCCTATCAAACACAGCGCCACTTCATTCTAATAGCACCCTGATGACTCACCACACACTGCAGCAGACAGGCTAGCCTGTTTAGAAGATTGGAGGACATTTCTTACCTTATCCACAAACAGTAATTCAGGAAAAACAATCAATTAAATGGTCATATATCAAAATTTACTTAATTCCTTTGGTCTTCTTTTACTCAATTTAATTTACCAGAGTAATTAAAAGTATAATTGTAATATTGGGAATGCAAGGTGCTTTTCGCCACTTCCTCACTCTACGTCCACCATTTTGACAGCAGCGGTGAAATGGATTGATCCACCTTTGTGGACAGGTAAGAAAACATCTATAATAAATGCAATATTTAAACAAATAGATATATGAAACAAATATATTCTTAAATTTTACATATAAATATAGTATAATGCATGTGATTGTATCTATAAATCCTAGGTTAAAATGTATTGAGATTTGAAATTCCCTCAATTAAAATGATCTTGTCGAGTTCGCATGGTGACCCTGTTTGACCCCATTGGGAGGCGGAGGTTTGTTTACTTGATTTGAGTTCTACAAGCAAAAACACACTTTTGTATTTGGTGCAGTCAAGGTTTTACAGTTTGTGGTTTACTTAATAATAACAACTGCTGAATAAACCATAGAAATATCTCTATTATGTAGTATTTGAAAACAAACTATTTCTTAAGGTAGACTAAGCCTAACTTGTTTTATTTTCATATAGGCCTAGCCTAGGTCCTTCTAGGTTAGAAAAAGGCTAGGGCCTACCTAGGCCTAGCCCCAACAGCAACAACAAGGCCAGGCCTAGCCTAGGCGTCCGCATTCATTTTGACGGCGCAGGAATGAATTTCCGACAAATGCCGTACGTTTCGGCCACGAACCAGTTCTGCCGCGATGTATACAATATCCAGATAATCAGGAAATTTAGTGTGTTTTGTTTTTCTTATAATATTAAAACATACATACACTATCATGTACTTTACAATACAAATAATTATACTACTTTACTAGGGCCTATAATATAAGCTTACCGGCATATCAGCTGCTACTTGTTTACTGGTTTACTGGTTTCCCGTAAAACTACTAGTACTACGGGATCGAGGCAAAGCACTCAGTGATTAAAGACCCTCTTGTAAATGAAGTCACTATTGTGCAAACTTCAGTGGATGGTTGGACCATCCCTCATTGAGGCTTGATTTAAAAGTATTTAATAGATGAACATAATACTGCTTCTCTAGGAAGTGCATTCCAAAGCAAGACCACCCTTCTAGAAAATGTATTCCCCTAACATTAATCCTAGAACGCTACCTAGTGAGAATTTTGAATTTGTTAAACTTTGAATTATGCTTGTTTCTTATGTGTTATGCCTGGCATAGGCCCTAAACTTGCTTTCCTTGGTGAATTGACACAAATAAAAGCGTTGTTTGCCATTCCCACAGTCTTTTTAATTACTTTTAAGTCAATATGCGTATTTATCATATTATAATTGTCCCAGACTCTATAGTAAGCCCTGCGCGGGGAATGTATCCTTTGCGCAAAAATTTGGCGTAGAAATCCATCCGCGCATTTCAGAATATAATTGCTGATTTCCGCACAGATTATGCCGAAAATTAGGCTTTGACCAAATCCTAAAATATAACCAATGCAATTATGCAGCATTTATGATTCCGCACAGCTATTTTCCTAGATTTTCCGTGCAAATTTGAGACTCCGTGCAATTAAAAAACTTCACAGTATGGTAATTGTCAGTATTTAAGCAAGCTGTGTACATTAGGCAGTCTTCATCATCATATTGTAATGTTGAATATGGAGTGCCACAAGGCTCTACTCTCGGCCCTATTCTTTTCCTTGTATACATGCTTCCCCTTTGTCAGATAATTAAACAATACTCAATTACTTATCATATGTTTGCAGATGATACTCAATTGCATATTAGTTTCAAGCCCAACTTAGAACAGTTTGGCAATGCAAAGTTCTCAATGGAAACTTGCGTCAGAGCAGTGCATCAGTGGCTTTCTGAAAATGGTTTATTTCTTAATTCCAGTAAGACTGAGACTCTTCTTATCCATTCCAAATATCTTAATTCCCCACCAGAATTTCAGCATCTTTTATAGTTGGTGACTCTTTAATCCAACCTTCTTCTGTTGTTCGTAACATTGGAGTCACATTTGATGAGTCAATGACATTCACCAGTCATGTAAATAATATATGAAAGTCTATATCCTATCATCTCAGGAATTTTAAAAACATCCGTAAGTTTCTGACCGAGGATGCGGCTCTCAAAATTTTACACGCTTTAATCACTTCACGTCTTGGCTACTGCAATAGTTTACTTTATGGTCTGCCGATGAGACTCATTAATAAACTTCAATTGCAACTCAACTCTGCTGCTTGGGTAGTTAACTCCGGTTCTCACGCGACTTCACTGGTTACCCGTGAAACAGAGGATTGAATTCAAAATACTTATTTTTACATACAAAGCACTTCATGGGTTAACTCCTCCTTATATTTCTGACCTCATAAAACTACGTTCAAGCAAATGCAATAGACGACTTAGATCTACAATCGACTCAACTCTTCTGCATATTCCATCTTGTCGCTTGAAGACTTACGGAGCAATATCATTTCAAATAGCAGCACCTACTCTTTGTAATAGTTTACCTACAGATGTGAGAAATGCGACATCCTTGGATGTATTCAAAACTAAATTAAAATCACACCTTTATACTATATGTTATTAGTTTCTTCTTTCTCTTTTTTTATAACATTAGTTAGAATAGATACCGTGCATCATTATGGCACCTGTGAATTATGTTCCGGCCAACCATTGTTTGACAATGGTCTTAAATTGTGGGAGAACAGTGCGATGATGTGCGGTTCTTCTGCTATAGTCCTTTCATTTTGGTTCCTTTCCTTAGTTCGTTAGCATAGAATCTTTAGTTGGATTTTCTTATCCTTTTTTATTATTTTATATTAGCGCATTGAGACTTCGGTGTAATGCGCTATATTAAATCCCACTACATTACATTACATTATTTTTGGATATTTATTAGTCATTCAATGAATCAAATTGACTGAAAACACAATACAAAATGTGTTTCATACATTGCAGCCTAATTTGTTCGTGGCCAAAACGGTCCTACACCCTTCTGACTAGGTGCTCTTCATAATGAGAATTAATAATTGATAGCAGATTAACTATTTGCTAGTGTTGTATTTTGTTGATAAATACCAATACGAAGTTTAAATTTGTATGATGTGGAGAAACCCCTCCATTTAACAATTTGGCTATGCCAACCAGGTCCTTCGTACTGGTGATATATATGTTTAAAAAATTCCGCTGGCTTTTTTTTTTGCGTCAGAAGAAATAATATACAGTATGATGTTTGCCCTACCTGACGTGTTATAAGTACTGAATGCTCAGTACATTCCAAAATGCTTGCGAAAAAAATCTTGCAAGCGATTCGGGTGGGAATCGAACCTACAACTTCCAGCTAACTAGACTGATGTCTTAAGCACTAGACCACCGAGCTTGCGTTGGGTGGCTAGTGATAAATCCGATCCCCAAGTAGCATTGTTTAGAAAGTGCTATCTTATTTCATAAACTTGATGAAATCTGCATAATACAGTAGCTCCAATTGCTACTATGCCAAAGTTATTTGATATGATACTTTCTTCAGCATGGTCCATTGAAGCATGCCATCTTGGTCTTGCTTCAGTTGGTCCACGTTGGCCACATATTCTTGACGTCAAATACCAATACTACAATACCATATATCTTCTGTCCCAATATAGATCTCAACTGATTTGATTTATCACATTGTAGAATTAATATATAATTTTTATGTTCTTCTCTCTCTTTACTTTTCAGAACAAATTATGTTGACATTGTTGCTGTATTTTACAAACACAGAGCCTATGCCTTTTGTTAGAAACCAGGGAGCACATGAGTTGTAGCTGTGATTTTAAAATTTAATTTAGTAAGGAACTTGTTATTTTGGTAGAAAAGGTCTGCTCTCAACTTTAAAACTGAAATGTTCGGGAGATCAGTACGCCACGACATGCCTCAGATGAGTGCATGGATGGATGAATTGGTGGATGAATAATTACCGTATTTATTCGAATATACATCCCAGGGTGTTTGAAGTTTAGAAGGGTTTTGTGGGGGGGGGGGGTTGGTGTTTATTTAAGGGAGGCACTTTTTTTTTTTGGTGTAAAATGGATATGTATGTATTCAAATAGCCCTTAACTTTAAATGTAGAACTACAACACATAATTACCATCAAAATTTGTTATTGCATGATGATAAAGACTTACCCTATTTACCCTAACCAGGTTAGAAAAAATGTAATGTTCTACTAATAATAGAATGTGTTAAGAATGATGTTTCTTTCATTAGAATTGTTTACAGTCATTTAGGGGGAATGTCACTCGAGAAAAAGATAATCACCTCAGGGTGTTTATTTTAGGGAGCCATTTATTCCAAATAAGCTGTAGGGGTGGTGGGGCATTTATTGATAGTGGGGCATTTATTCAAATAAATAGTTAAATGACAACATTCAAAAAAGATTGGTAAATTTGTCTTTTTCCACCAGGAAACTTGATATCTATTTTTCTCAGTTTCTGCCAGCACTGTTGCAATATCAGTACTGAGGTCCTGAAATTGTAATCTAGTGGAAATAAAGAATGAATGAGTGAATTGTGCGTAAATGAATTAATGGGTAATTTAATTGACTACATGAAGGAAATTGTAAATAATTTGGTTATTGTTATCTCTTTCCAGCAAGAAACTAATGGAATTGGTCTTTTTGTTGGTGACATCATTTTTCATCGTTTCTGCCAAGAAAAGTGCCACAGTAGGGAACAGCTTTCATTATGTGATTTACAGAAGCATATTTGCTTTTCAGAATCTTGGTATGTCAATCAGAACCACAAAACTAATCATAAAAGTTTCACTTAATTAAACAATTCCTAATTCGTTAGTCTAAAGAAGGTGCTACTATACTCATTTCATTTGTATTTTAATTCTGATTTGATGTTATTGTATGTATTGATAAGATTAGGACAATAACATCCAATCAGAATTAAGAATTGGTTTTAAAACTGGATTTGAAAGTAATAATTGTTATCATTACTGGTTGAAGTTTTAATTTTTTTGCTATATAAATTTGTGTAACACTTACAGGAAAAAAAATTATTTTAATGTATGTTAAAAGCACTGTATATAGAAAATATGGAAAGTTGTTGGTGTAAGTTGATGAGCAACGTGCTAAAGGATAGAAATAATACATTGGTTTCATTAAATATAATATTAATCATATCAGAAAGAATAGTTATAACACTAGACATTCCAATGTGTTTTTAATAATTTGTTCCTTTTTACATGTATAACCTTGTACAGTCTTTGAAAAATAAAAAACATTCTTGTTTGAGTCAGTTCTTTGTGTGTAAATATAAATTATAATTATATTATATTATTATTTTTGATAATATATTACTGTATTATTTATTATTATATTATTGTATATTGTTATTTTTGATATATTGATATAAATAATTATATATTATTATAACATACAAAAAATGTACTGAAGAAACTTGTTAACATAATTAAAGATGTGTGTCTTATCCTATGTTCTTGGAATACACCTTCAATAGATCCAGTCACTTACGTCCAATTACGTGATTTACGTCCAATTAAGTGCAATACTAACAGATTAAGAGGATCTTTCATTCATAATTCAATCCATATGTACAATGATGATTTTAATAGATAAACTGCAGTAACTAACTCCTGTAAATAACTGTATCATTTTGTATATTCTGTTTTTTTTATGTCTTTCGTTTATTTTTTACCTAACTTTTATACTAATTTATTTTCATATCAGGAAGACAAATTTTACTTTTTGTGTACTAGTGACAATAAAATAACCTTGTGTCTTGTAATTTCCATTTTTTCACAATACAGTACCCCCTTGCTATGGAACAACCTAATTTTAGCCTGCAAACAATTGCCATCTATCTCCACATTCCGAAAAAATCTCTTGATGACATTTAGAAATCAATAATTTGTGCTTTTCGCTGTTATTACTATTATTAGTGTTATTTTTAATATGATCACTATATTATGATTATTATTATTATTGTGATTATTATTATTATTATTATTATTATTATTATTATTATTACTGGATTACTACTATTTATATACTAATTTTATTATGATGTTATTGTTGTTAATTATTGTTGTTATGCTTCTCTTCAATGTTTTTACATCTTGTTAAGCAGTGAATGGTAGCTATGGTAGCTGACACATGCACAGGGAAGATTTCCCCTTGTTAGCTCTTGTGTGAGGAAAATAAAATTATAAATATTATGAATTATTATTATTAAAGGTTTATAAAGATGAGTTATTTTCAGATGTGAAATCAATTGAACCGTCACTTCTTAGATTGCAAAGCTGTCAACTCATTGAATTCCAGTACCAACTAATATCACTCCAATATTTTCTACTTTAACAGAAAACTCAAATCCTATTACATTCCGGCCCTCTCTGGATGGCAAGGCAGGCCTACCTAGCTGGCTGAAATATTACCAAGAAGACACGACAGAAAATGGCTTCTTATATGGCACACCTCAGTTAAGCGATGTAGGCAACACCAACTTAGAGGTACTTTGCCTTTTACACTGGGTTTTTTGGCCTTCGTTTACAATGTCTTCAGCAGTTGAAATCCATGTTTGATAAGTGAAATACATACACACAAATTACATACGTCACTGCCTACTGTATAAATAGAGCAAGGGTACCTAACAACCGATACATGATGTATACAGATAGACGTTAACACTGTTAAATTATATATAAATCATCAAAGGCAGGTAAATACAGTGTTCGAATAAAGAAAGTGATACATTGCATGGCCAGGTGGCCCGGGCCCCCACTTTTTGGCAAAAAATATATAATGTCTGGAGATTTTTGTATGATCGGAAATGCAAGAAAAGAAGGAGAGGAGAAGGATGGGAAAGAGAATGTTTATCCAGTACCCGACCGAGTTACATTTTCTCCCAATTCACATTGGCGGATCTGGGGGAGGGGGTCATGGGTACTGACCCCTCCCTTGGGCAACAAAATAAAAGGGGAAAATGAAAAAGAATTCTAGACCTACCTTTTCAGGACCCGTAAACTGATGTTTGTGTATGTATACACACATAAAATAAAAAATGAGAAAAATTTACCTGACTGTTTTCAAGAGGGGAAAACCTTGAATTTTGAAGAACTTTAAAAGTCATTAAAATACATTTCAGAAGTCAGGAAAGCTCATTTCCCACCATCTAGAAATCGAAATTTTCCCGGGGGAACATGGACCCCCTTTTTCTTTGGAGTTCATTGATTAATTAAATCATTTTCAAGAGGGGGAACCTTGAATTTTGAAGAAATTAAAAGTCATTAAAAGACACCTCAGAAGTCGGGAAAGCTCATTTCCCGCCACCTAGGAATCAAAATTTTCCCGGGGAAGAACCACAGGACCCCCCCCCTTTCTTTTTGAGATTTATCGATTCATGGAAAAAAATATGTATGCAACTTACTCAATCTTTTTTTTTATGTATGTATACACACATAAGGCCTGTTTACTGTAACAACAATGGGAAAAAATTACCTGACCGTTTTCAAGAGTGGAAAACCTTTAATTTTGAAGAACTTAAATTAAAGTCATTAAAAGATACTTCAGAATTCGGGAAAGCTCATTGCCCACCATTTAGAAATCAACATTTTCCCGGGAAGAACTCGAACCTCCCTTTCTTTGGGTTCATTGATTCATTATAATAATTTTCAAGAGGGGAAAACCTTGAATTTTGAAGAAATTAAAAGTAATTAAAAGACACCTCAGAAGTCGGAAAAGCTCATTTCTCGTCTTCTAGGAATCAAAATTTTCCTTGGGGAGAACCCCCGGACCCCCCTTCCTTTTTGGGATTTATCGATTCGTGGAAAAAAAATCGTAGGCAACTACTCATTTTATAAAAAGTGTTATGTATGTATACACACATAAGGCCTATTTACTGTATTTTTACTGAACCCCCCCAAAATTTTCCTTCCTTTTTGGGATTTATCGATTCATGGAAAATTTGTATGCAACTACTCATTTTAAAAAAAGTTTTATATATGTATACACACATAAGGCCTATTTACTGTAATAAAAATGGGAAAAAATTACCTGACTGTTTTCAAGAGGGGAAAACCTTGAATTTTGAAGAACTTAAAAGTAATTAAGACACCTCAGAAGTCGGAAAAAAGCTCATTTCCCGCCATCTAGGAATCAAAATTTTCTTTGGAGCTTATCGATTCATTGAAAAAAGAATACGTACGCTACTCATTTTTTTTAATGTATGTATATACACACATAACAGGCCTATTTACTCTAATGAGAAAGTATACCTTACCATTTTCAAGAGGGAGAAAACCTTGAATTTTGAAGAACAAAAGTCATTAGACACCTAGCTCAAAAGACAAGAAAGGTCATTTCCCGCCATCTAGAAATCAAAATTTTCCTGGGGGAAGAATGTAGACCCCACCACTTAGGTTTGATTCCAGATCTGCATGATTCATATTCCCATTCATCTTATACATGTAAGTGGGGGGCCCCCCCCCACTTTGAAAAACGTTCTGCCTTGTGTACCATAGCTCTCAACGAATTTTGTCCTATAAATAAATAAATAAATACATTGTGTAATAACATTTCTCTGACGGGATTCAAACCTGTGACCTCTCGCTGTCAAGGTGAGAGCAATAACCATTAGACCACAGAGGCTTCATGGTTTAACAGAATAACCGTCAGATACACTCTATTGCACAATAGGTACTGCTGGAGTAATGATAGCATATAATATAAATCAAGATAGCCATTAACACTGTTAAATTATATATAAATTACCAAAGAAAGGTTAATACAGTATTTGAATAAAGGACGTGATACAATGTGAAGCATACTGTAGCTCTTAACGAATGTTGTCCTGCCACATTATCAATGCTCCTAGATACAAACTGCCTTGTTTTTTTTTTTTGGTCCATCTTAAAGGTTCCAGGAAACATTCAGATAGCTATCTGAGTGACACAAGAGAAGTCAATAACAAACCCTTTAAAAATGTCTTCATACATGCAATTTTAATTTAATTGTTATTTAAAATTAATTGAACATGACCTGTTTACTGTCAATTGTGTTGTTTTGACACATAGAAAGTGATGTCCCACAGAGTGTGAAACTCATTATTGCTGCAACCAATAAGAAAGAGATAATTTGCTCTCACAATAGTTACTCATACCTAACGAAAACTTAATTATAGACGGCTCATGTGTGTTTTGAAAGAATTTACACTATGTGTTAAAATGACCCCTCTGGCAGGAAACAATCACTGTCTATCTCCTGTGTCTGGGCGTACTTCGATATTTCTACATATTTAGGGGGTATTTTGGTTTAGTATCATTCTCTGTATTTAAAGAACATTGATGTATCTAGGAGCATTGATAATGTGGGATGAGGGCTGGTGGGCGCACAAAAGTTAAGTGGGAGGACTTGTTGATTAAGTGAGTTGGCTTTCGCAGGGCAAAAAAAAAGTACTTTAGTGTAATTTTTTTTGCTAAGCAAATTTCTAGTGGGGGTGGGGGAGGGGAGCCCTATGGGAGCAAGCTTTTTTCTTGGGGTTCCCCCATTTCCCTGCAGATACGCCACTGACAAAGAAGGGGGGACATTTTTGATTACAACCTTATTTGATGATGACACCATTCTTTATTTTTGTCTTGCCTTTATATTGACCTGCCCACCTGTATGAATCATATCCTCTGTTAATATTAGATTGTTTCATTCTTTCTCTCGGTATCTTTACAGTTTTACCTTTATCTCTCTATCAATAGGGACTTGGGGATGTTCGTGAATATCACCAGAAATTCCCATGATGTTCCAGCTAATGTGATTAAATTTGTGTATGTGTTCCTGTTTTTAAAGTTTAATGTGTCATCTAAAATTATGGAAGAAAGTGGAAAGTTGGAGTAACTTTCTTTCTTGCTAAAATCAAAACGTGAATCTATGTGAGATACAGAAAGGCATTCACCTATCATTATTATTTTCAGTATTTTTTTATATTTCCTTTGCTATTATCATTACTTCCTTTAAAAATGATGTGTTTATATTTTACTTCTTTACGTAGATAATCGCTTTGAACAGAGCAACATATAAAACAGCAAGGGTGGAGTTGGTGATCACCGTTCAAGATAACACAGGTGACTTTTGTTTATAGATTTTGCTTCTCAGCTGCTAAGCAATTGCCCTCTGATCCTGCCCCTCCCCTGGCATAACTACTTCAGCAGCTAAGGTGGTATACAGAAGGAAATTGAATAATTTTCTGTATATTTTTGTAATTACTTAACTAGATAAATCAACTATATCCATTCATATGGAGAAAAGGGAATGAGGATGTTTTATTAGGGGTTAATAGGTAAGCCTAACCTCCTGGTAGATGTTTGATAGATTAAAATGTATTGTAAACATTATTATGGATTATTTCAGCGTTGCCTTATTTTTTTAGTTCTTTCATAAGTCAATCATCTTGTTTTTTTCTCATAACCAAAATGAGTTTCTAGTCCTTGCCTAGGACGGTCTAGGCTCCATTCATGTTAACCAGTGCCATAGAGCAAGATTTGTTTGGCTTGCTGTATGTGTTCATAGCTTGGCCTAGCAATGAAATATTTCATTGAAATGTAAATCTCCCCAACATTGAGCTTTTGCACACAAGACGCAAAATATTGGAGGCACTGTATCGAATTAGTGATCAGTTGGGGATAGGAATACGCAGTGCAAATGAAAGTGATGATGTCACCATTGACTTATAAAATATTATATATTCAAGTGGTATTCTAGTTATGCACTAAAAAATTATACTTAGAGGCTTCCACTGTCATTAACTTCTGTACATTTACTTATTTACATATTCAGGAACTCCCATACCAACAACAGTTTTAAAATCACTGTTTACTGGCAGTGCAACAGGGGGTTGGGAGAATTGTTCTTACCTCAGTCAGACACATGAATCTCCCTACAGCTTAAGGTCATCAAACTGATTCAACCCAACCTATTGTGATTGCCATTCCTTTTTTTTTGCTAAAGTTATGAACTAAGCAAGGATGATATCTACTTCAGCAATTTAACTATATTTCTTTAATATTCAAATTGTTCAACCTAGGAAATGTGTCACCTTTTGACATTTGAACCAGATCTCTCCCTGAAGTTCCACACACTACATCTGCACCATAATTATCGAATTAGTTGTCTTCCTTAATTACTTGAAAAACATTTTTTAATGTGATCAAATTCTGCATAATTCTAATAATTCGAGTATGTTAAACTATAACAACCTACCCAATGTCAGATTATTATGTTGACTTCTAACTCATAAATCCTGTTTCAGTGTTTTTAATAAGACCCCAATTGTACACTTATACTCCAGCCCAGGTCTGGCTTATCTGCGGCTGATGTAAAACAGTGTGTTTATAAATTTAGGCAGGCCCAGGGCTGCCTGCCAGTGCGTGCAAACTTCACTTCATTTTCCAAGCCCAGATTGCTGGACAGGAAATTAGTGATTGCTTTACTGACGCAAACAATGGTCAGATTGAAAATTTTGTACATTAGCATAGGAATTATTTATGCCTAAGCCTAGTAGTATATACAAGTATAACAAAGAATAGAATGATAACAAATTGTGGATGAAGAAGCAACTCATGCAGTGTTCCTCTTGTCAAATTGTGTGACTTTTTAAAAAATTAAAACTATGATGAGCTATATGCTACAGCCTAGGCCTTATGTTTATATATATGTAACTATAATTTGGTGATGAAGCAACGATTCTCTAACAACATTTACTGACCTTAAATTTACAGTACTCTACATGTATTATAATACATAACTATAACAAATACATCTTTTCTAAATGCGTAACTGTGGGTTAAGCTTGGTTTCCATAAAATTGCTGCATGCTATTGCCGACAGCTCTCATTAAATGACATGATTGGTCAATGAAATGTCAAAGGTTATGCCAGAAAGTCAACTGATCCAACTCTGTTACAAAGATACTCAATGTGTTTCTAGTCCCATTCCTTAGCCGACAGGCAGAACAAATTTGGGTCAGCTGAGGGTTGGATAATCATGTGCTTATTCACATCAGACAAGCCAGTCGTGGGCTGGCATGTGTGAATGGGATAGCCCACACTCTATTAAGATTGATAATAGAATAGTAGAAGACCTTGTCTTCTCTGATGTCACTAGTAAGTGAAAACTAACATAATGACATGTTAAGCTAGGCTAGTCTCTCTGTCTCCACACACTCCAAATTCAACAGTATTTCAAGAAGTAATTTAGGCATAATGAGTGATTGTTGAATACAAAATTTCAAGTCTTTAATTTCCATGTTTCCCTCCCATTTAATCTGATCTTCCCTGTCCTTTGTTTCCATTGCTGTCCTTTTCACCTCCCTGACTTTTCCACAGTCTTGCGCCTCATTTGTTAATTATTAAAAAAACAAAAAACCCACACATCCCTGTGTTTATTTATTCACCATCCTTGACCTATCATTTACATCTACTAATCATGCCATCGCATATTTTTTTCCTAAGTTCTATTTTTTACATAGAACTCTGGCATACAGAGTACCCATCATCTACTGTGTCACTGGCCACAAAAGAAATCATGTATGCTAAAATGCTGTATAGCCATTTCCACACCTTTTTATTCCAGACTTCCCCTTCCCTGTTTCTTCTTTTTTAACTAGAAAGTACATTGAAGCGTTTAGCATATGCCTTATGTTAAGTTGAAATTATTATTATTTATTTAGTATGCATGTAGGCTAAATAACCTATATCTATCATGAACTCTGACATCACTTATCCTCTTCCTGGTACACAGGGCCTCAGCATTTCTCAGTATACTGTATATATTTCTAGATTTTGCTACTTCTGCAACTTTTCTCCATGATTTCCATGCAGTTATATCTTTCCCTTAAGTATAGTAATTTAATTGATCCCAGTTTATTAGTTGGAAAATTATGTCTGGGGGAGGGGGGGAGTTACAATATGCTCTACTTTTTTTAGTGTACAGTACTGCATTCTTAAACATGCCCATGAGTCATGTCGTACACAGAACCAATAGCTTAAAGGTTTTCCAAAAGAGTATGTGTGCACTGTATATCTGATATTGTGCACAGAAAGCAGATGGGACACAGGGAAACAAACATCTCCATGGTTGAACAAACACACTCACAGTGGCTCCTACCAGTTTTAGCAAACAGAGCAATGCTACTTTCTCACATGAAATTTCTGGACCAGAATTTGAGAACAAAAACTAATAACATCATATAATAATAATTATCTCATGATTCTATAAAAGGTTCAGAACCCAAAACCTTTACCAACCCTACATCTTTCCACATGCTTATTCGTATGTAGCACTTGGCATATCTTTACTCTATCTATTTTTTCAGTACAGTCATCTGCCTCACTATCTCCAAGCCATCCCTTATTAATCCTCTCAAAATTTTCATTCTATGCAAATGTCCTGAATTATGCTATAACCCTTTTATTAACATTTCCATGGCAAAAGCAGAACACTTGATTCCAAAGTCTTCCTGGATTATAATACATTTTTAAATAATAACATTAAAAGTACTGTCATAAAAAATGAGGCCAAAAAATGGCACGTACCTTACAAGGTTGAACATATGGGATAATTAATGCGAGAAATTATCTCACGGTGTCATCGTGTTCCCTATGTAAATGAATTGAAGGTTATTATTAATGATATATATGATGACGTCTGGCTCCAAAAGACATGACACCTGTAACAGGTGTCAGTATGTGGAGCAATTTACATCAGTTAAGATTGAAACTGAACTTTATTGATAAATTTAGTAGCTTGGATGGAAACTTTCTTAATACTAATTTGATGTGAGGACATTGTTCGTCTTTGATGTCTAGTGTAGATAAGATAGTAACATAAGATACACCTACATTTCAATAAATGAGTACAGGAAGGAAAAGAAATTATAAAATTATGTTTTTGAAATATTGCAAGGTGAGGATATTGCAAATACTGCAGATATCTGATGGAAAGTTAATATTAAAATTTTACGGAATGGTATTTCCGTGTCGTTTTCCTAGATTCATGTTCTCACTTTAGAAGTCCAACGTGTTAATGAAATTCTATTTTCCACTAGGCGAATTTATTCACAGGAATCAAAAGCGTCAGTTCATGACATGCACATTTCCATCAGAGTTTTTCGCTTCAACGGAATTAGTAGTTCAAACTGTTTCTACTTTTTGCGAAGCGTAAAAATGTACAACCAATCAGAACTCAGGAAGCGAACCGACGCTTTTGATTCAGGCAAATAAATCCGCCTAGTGGAAAACAGCCTGTAAGCACTAGTTAGACTATATAAAATGTATAATTGAGTGATTAATATTTGGTCAGTCATGTTTAATTTTGTTCTCTAGAGTAGATAATTTTTTTTTCTTGTAATTCAAAAGGTAAATTCTGACTATAGTTTCTTAACCAGTGTTCTTAAGTCAAATGTTGTGTAGTAAGAGTTTCAGACGAGACACAATCAGCCACATGTGTCTAAACACATTGCTGGGTTCTACAATCGGAAATCATATTGGACAGATTTCATTGTCCTGCCAATATTGGCCACTCATTCTTTTGACTGCTAATCTCTCTTTTCTATTCAATGACATTTTTTAGTGTGAAAGGGATTTATGTGTAGCCGAGTCTGACCCTCTCTGGGTAAGGTCACCCCATGTCATGACATGCAGGAATGTTAGCAGGCTTGATGCGAAACCCCACATCTGAGTCCAAAGTGTGTGTCAGTACTTTGTAGTTTAAGGGTAATTTATGTTGGATTTCTATAGGTTAAACCCCTTCACATTGCCTCCCTATTTTTTTGATTTTCAAAACCAAACATGTAGGAAAGATTTAGAAAGTGTTTTTGAACCAAGCAATTGAGGTAAAGTATTTAGTGTAGAATATGCCAACTTGTTTCTTTTATAATGTCATATTTTCATTGTGGACAGGATATCCACTTAATAAAAGCAATAGTATTGCAGATATATAGTTTCCTGCTTTTGAAGTCCCATGCGACTCCCCTACATGCTTAAATCACCAAACCACAAGGCAACCACTGCAACCTTTTAATGAAACTTAATTACATTTCATTCCTATTTTCTGTCCACAGTACTTA